TACGAGGTGCACTCCAATCTGTGAAAGAACGGGGGAGTTGTGGCTTTTGTCCGCAGCAGTCTTTCCTGCTCCAGGGATCTTTCTTTAGAATCAGACCGGAAGGACATTCTGTGGCTTCGCCTCAACTCCAAAACATCACCCAAATTTATTTGCTGCCTTTATCGCTCTCCCTCGAACCATAACTGGGATGACCTACTCGAATACCTCGCCGTCCAGATCGACTTCCTGAACATCAATCACCCCGCTTCAGAGGTAGTTCTTCTCGGTGATTTCAATGCCCATAATGAGCTTTGGTTGGGCTCAAATAAGACCGATGCAGCAGCTCTTACTCAAGGGCTGACCCAGCTGGTGACGAGCCCTACTTTTTTCCTTTTTTCCCCCGCGTCTCGTCACACGCCAGTAGCCTGCTGGATCTCTTTTTGACCACGCATCCTGCCCCTTACAGCACTGCTGTCCTGTCCCCCCTGGGTAACTCAGATCACGGTGTTGTGGAGGTTAGGTTTCGGTCAGAAGCCGCTGTGGCAGCAGAAACTCGCACAGGCCGCAAAACTTGGCATTACGGACATGCCGACTGGGAGGGGCTCAGAGACTTCTTCTCTAGCTTTCCTTGGAGATATGTCTGTTTCACTGACGCGGATGCGTCGACTGTCTGTTCTTCATTAACCGAAATTATCCACGTCGGAATGGAGGAATACATCCCTCACACAGTGAAAGTTCCTATACCAGGGCCCAACGGCTGGTTTAACAAATCGTGTGACACTGCTCGCCAGCAGAAGATCAAGGCCCACAGAACCTACTTACAAAACCACACTGTAGAGAACAGACAAGCCGACGTCGAGTCCAGAAACAAATATAACGAAGCGGTTCGCAATGCCAAAAAGCAGCATGATATAAAAGTTAGGCACAGGGTAATGTCGCAGCGCAATGGCAGTCGGTCTTTCTGGACGCTGGCCAAGCAGATTGAAAAGAACTTCTCACACAGTAGCCTTCCACCACTTACGTGTCAGGATGGAACTATTGTATTCGACTCAAAGGCCAAGGCGGAAGTGCTAGCCAAGATCTTTGCTGCCAACTCCACCATGGACGTCCCCACCAACGCCCAAGTGCCGTCAATCCAAAGGATTCCCCACACTATGCGGGAGGTAACATTCAGGCATAAGACCGTAAGACCAGTTCTCTTGTCGCTCGACATCAACAAAGCTTCTGGTCCGGACTTGATTCCTGCCATTGTACTGAAGAGATGTGCAGCGGAGCTTGCTCCAGTTCTTTCGAGTCTCTTCCAGATATCTTATGAATCCGGCACGTTCCCAGAAAACTGGAAATTTGCTCATGTACAGCCCATCCCAAAAAAAGGATCTAAAACCGACCCTTACAACTACAGGCCTATAGCTCTGCTTTCTGTTATAAGTAAAGTGATGGAGAGGTGCATAAATCGCGAGCTTCTAGACTACCTCGAACGTCACAGCTTGATTAGCGACAGGCAGTACGGTTTCCGGCACCAACGATCCACAGGGGACCTCCTAGCTTACGTCACGCAACTGTGGAGTAAACTCATCCAGTCTCATGGTGAGGCTCATGTCGTTGCTCTTGACATCACGAAAGCGTTCGATCAGCTGTGGCACTCTGCCCTCTTAAGCAATCTTCCATCCTACGGCCTCCCAGAAAAGCTTTGCAGATGGGTGGCTGACTTTATCTCTGGCCGCAAGATATCCGTCGTAATTGACGGATTCTCCTCTTCATCCCACAACGTCAACGCGGGTGTTCCCCAGGGATCGGTCTTGGCTCCAACACTGTTTCTCTTACATATCAACGACCTCCTTTCCTGCACGATCAACCCAATCCACAGCTTCGCTGATGACAGCACTTTACATGCAGGAATTCAGAGTGACAAGCCGATCTCTGCCGCTGAGCTGGAAAAAAGAAGACTAGCGACGACTTCTTCTCTGACAAGAGACCTGGAGGCTATCACTGCTTGGGGACGCAACAATCTTGTACAGTTCAATGCTTCCAAAACCCAGTACTGTACTTTGACGAACAAAAAGCGTCCTAGCGCTCATACAGTTTCGATGGACGGTCGACTTCTACCAAAGAGCCATTCATTTCGGCTGGTCGGAGTCCAGATCACCGAGGACCTGATCTGGCACGAACACATCTCTTCAATAGCTGCAGCTGCTGGGAAAAAGCTAGGCTATTTGTTTAGGGCTAAGAAGTACTTTTCTCCGCATGACCTTCTCACTCTATACAAGGCCCAGATAAGGCCTAGCCTCAAGTATTGCTCACACATTTGGGGTGCTGCCGCCCCGACTACATTGTCCATGCTCGATGCTGTCCAGAGGAGGGCGGTCCGACTGATCGATGACTCTTCTCTAACAGACAGTCTCGGGACGCTTTCGCACCGGCGGGCCGTCGGCGATCTAGCTCTTTTCTATCGCTACACCAACGGGCTTTGCTCGTCAGAGCTCTCTTCCATGATGCCGCCGCGCGATGTGCCTGCCAGACAGACCCGCCTGACTTCGGCGTCCCATCCTAACCGTGTCAAACTTCGTACATCCAGAACTGGCCGATACGACCGCTCCTTTGTCCCGAGGGTGTCTAGATTATGGAACAATCTACGGGAGGAAGCTTTTCCCAGTTCTACTAACCTTAGGCAGTTCAAAAATCGTATTAACAGAATTTCTTTGGGATCATCATATCAGCCGCGGTGTTCCGGCATTTAGGCTTCTGCCTGCGCGGCTGTTTCGATATAAAAAAAAGACGTTATTAAATCCTTGTAGTATTTTTACTTCTTTCTTCTAGCACATATTGGGAAATATTATTTTCACCGCAGCCAGCATCATGCAGTAGGCAGTCTTTTAAAAAAATATCTTTGTATTTAAGTAGTACCATACACGAAAATGCTCAAGTTTGACAGCTTGGCAGTCCGCGATTTTCAAAGACAGTCGGAAACTCTGCCTGCATGAAAATAGCTGTATCATAAAATCTTCAAAATTAGTCATTTCGTTTTTTTTTTCGATCAGCTTTGGTTAGACTGGAGCTAGAATATAGGTACATATTGTTTGTGCATACAATTCGAGGCTGGGTGACAACAGTTAGGGAACAAAAACCCTACTATCCTAGTTTTATAAAATCACATTAACAATATACCTTGTGAATTTTTCATGCATAATAATCACAGACGTTTATTCAGAAACCTATTTGCTTCTTCAACTTGTCATTCGATGTGTGGAATTACATTATTCCTTCGAATTTATGTCCATACTTTAGAGAGAAGAATTAAATGGGAACTACTGAGTAAATTTACTTAAAATTTTTTGCTGCTGTTAGTTTTTCTAGAAAGTGTTCCTTGTTATCCCTTCTAGAGGAAAATTCAGGCACTTCCGGGCAATTGGACGATAAATCCTAGATCATTCTAGTTTAAGAAAAAGAAAATACCCAGACTTTTACAAATTTGTCTACCTCATGCTGAAAAATGTTATATTCGAATAATGATCGCAATTGATTTCGAGCTCTGACAATTTACTGGACAATAATCTGCTGACTAATTTGACCGTCGCCGTCGTTGTCGGTACTCGGTCCAAGCTCCCTCAGCCAACTAGTAACGTTTTCATGAACGCAATCTATAGAGTCAGTGACGCGTCAGTGACAGCTAACTGAATAAACTAGGTCATGACTTGTTGCCGACTATCAGTTTGCTGATTGTCAGCCAACAGGCTGGAAGAACAAACCATATGTCGATTTTTTTGTCATTATATTGGTTTTTTGTGACATTATGTAGGTTTTTCTACAACATGTTAACTCAGCACTATCTGATGGACACTTGTGAACTTGTTTTGTAATTGTACGTGTTGCCTAAACGTCATGATGCTCCAATTATCAATGTTTGGCTCTGATGTGATGTAAAATCTTCTGCAGAGATGACATTACTGGAGGTCTGAGCTGTAGGTTGTATACTATAAAGGAAACGGCAGTGCATAGATGCATAGTGAGAATTTGTGTGCTAATGTGTTGGTGATAATTACATTGGTTTCTTGCCTCAAATACACTTGCTTGAGATTCAAAGCTAGGAACTAGATGAGCATCCACTTTCTCTTATTCGTTCTGGAAATTTCGTATGCAAATTTGCTGAATTTCAGAAATGAGAGAGATAAAAAAAGAAAATGCCTGGTTGGTGAGAAAATACGCTACAGACAGGAATATATATGAAAGTTATAGAAATTTATTTTGCGATGTCAATGGAAAATACAAATCAGCGGCTAGATGTGAGGCATTGCGAAAATGATGTGTGATGCGTCATTCCTAATTTTTCTGTGATGTGGCTTAATTGCTCACAACGCGAGCGCGGTGGCGATTTCCCGTAATGCTTCTCATAGTTTTTGGAAGCACAAAAAAAATGGTAAAAATCGTAATTTATAACTTTGAACATAACCTGCCTTCAGGAAGGTCAACGTATAAATAACCCGTCGGGCACAGCTAATACATATATACTTCATTGGCAGCATATTTAGTAATAATTTTCTCACATACCAAATATCACTGATTTTATACGCTTGCAGACCAATACACAATCATCCAGATACGATCTTGCTATTCAGCCAACTTTCTTCTCAGCTATGAAAACTACAGGCTTCACAAAACGTATTCAACCAACAATGCGTGTGGTTGAGTGATTCCTCCACAGATGGATGCTCACAGCGGTCATAGCGAGCAAACGTGGAATGAACTATTTGCACCCTAGTCAGCAAGATGACATTTTATTGTTTTTTTTTTTTGACGTTTTATAGGTTTTCTACATAATGCCCGTGCTACCAGTTGCTTTAGGACAAAATGGTACGTGAAGCACCTGCAGCTGGCTAAAACTGTCTAGTTTGAATTTATACATTTTTGGGATTCGCTCAATTTAAAACATTTATCATGAAATGCCTCGATAGATCACGATATACTACAACCAGTTGTCTTAATCTATTTTTACTTATGAAATATATCAGTCGATGTGTACTCACATAATTCTTCTCTATCCAAGGAACGAACACCTCCTCCAAAGAGGCCTTTGAAGAAACCTTCTTTAGGTGGTTCTGGCATGTCCATTGGCAAAAACAGTTCACCAATCATCTCCGTCATGTTCGTGCTAGGAAAAAAACGTTTGATAAAATGGAAAAAAGTTGGCATGTTAAACTAATAAATCGCTTTAGCGCAAGAAAGATACTGAATAATTAATAGTAGACTAGTTACTCACCAAAATTCAGCATCTATGGTGAACTTTTGCAACTCGGAAGGGGAAGCAAGGTACAATCCATGACCTCTATTGCTGAAGTTGAATGTCCTGGCAATTCTAAAAAACCACATTCGAATTTTAAACAAGTATAGCGCCTTCTTGAATTAATGACATATTCACAAAATATCCAGCTTATCGGAACAAAAATAGAATACTTTCATTATTCAATCTTATAATACTCGTATGTCTCGAAAAGTGCCTTAGCATTTTTCTCTGTCATCGCGCTTGTGATGATGAATGTCGATTGTAAAATTTTAACATTAACAAACATTCAACGTTTCACGAAAGTATATATCAGGTTAAATACTTTTCATTGGAGATGTGTTGAAATTTCATAAGAAAGGTAGGAGATCGCACTAAACTATGTATACTTACAAGGAGAGCTACCGACTACATAAACTATAGGATTTATAAAGCATGCATAAGGCAAGAATAGATCAGACGAAAAAAACATTAACAAACATGCATCAATATTCATCAGATATAAATTATACAAAAGCTATGGAATTGCTTGTTTTCTAGTCCTATTTTATCGAGAATGAACGTCTAATGTTCCATTCAAATTCATATTCTTTATTTTCCTGTTGATGTTACAAAAAACATAGGAATTGTCAATAGAAATGTCTGTGATAGTTCTAACCTGTTAGATACTAAATACATATGGACTAAAACAACTTTCCTTAGCTCTTGCATGGTCATTAGATGTGTGCATAAAGCCTGCGAGACGGTGAAAAATGTGTATTAGGATCGAAAGGCAAAGTAGAAAATTTGGTTAAACTAGTGGACTTTCAAATACCTGCTTCATTCGTAATGGCCAATATGCTCACATTTAAAATAAAACTCGGTTTCAATACTTCGCTCTAAAAGTTCTGTGGTAAGTACGATATGTATCTCCAATTTACGAAAACTATAAACTGCTCCAGATCATAATAAATATACATTAAGCTTTCTACATAATCTGGACAAAATGGCATGTCACAATTCCTACGTTCACCGTGTAAAGCAATGTTGAAAACATGAGCTAAAAAAATGAGGCGGATGTACAAATCTCAGACTGTTCATGATAGTTTCGTTCACAAAACAAACACTTTCAGAGTTATTTTTTATAAGTTTCAGGTACTTTCTAACCTGATTATTTCTCTAGGCCTGCTATGGTATTTATTTTTTCTTCTAAAATCTATATATATATATATAAATATATATATATATATATATATATATATATAAAATATATATATATATAGCAAAACTCGAGACCAAATAGTATCAAACGTCACATTTGCTATATGCATATATTATTGTTGGGAATTATAAATCTGTAGCTCAACAGTAAACAGTTCGTTTGAGCAAGTTTTAAGTTGATAGCACCCTTGATCAACGTATTCTACCTCAACCTTATGCTTATTCTCGCGTCCGAAAAATTATCACACATGAAATGAGATACCGTAGCATCATCTATGAGCTATTGTCACAGATATCTTTCTCTTGTCCGCCTTAATTAGGAATCTGAAAATTTAGTGTCTCACAGATGGCGCTATAACCAACTATATGAGTATGTTAAATGCAAAAGCCTGTATTTGATGTCTAAGTGATTCTAAGATGATCACCAAAAACTGTTAATTATTATTCCACTCAGTATTTTCGAGAGGGAACACACTTCTGAGATAGAGGTTGGTTGGCTCATTTTTTTGTTCCTTGTTCATCCTACGTTTCAGAAAAAACACTTTGACGTTGCATTTACAGAGCTTTGCAAATGAGTCAGGCAAATAAAGACATTTTCATGGCTCTTGTATCTTTGATAAAAACTGGTAAAAGTTACTGACCGCAAAGTTTCTTTTTTTTATTTTGCAAAAATATTTAATAGAACATAAAAGACGTATAACTAATTTCCAGTCAAATTATGAGATCTTTCTGATCATAATTATAAAGGGTGTTTCAGTTTATTGTTGCATAACTTTAAGATTCTATAGAACTTTTAAAATTAATGCGTAAAGTCTATATAAACATGTGTCGAAAAAAGCGTGGCTTCCTAAATACAGGGTGTTTAAATTTAGTTTCTAAAATAGTTTTTTTTAAATATTTCGAACAATATTTGATGCATAACAGTGAAAATTGGTATACAAGGGTTTTTTGGTACGACAAAATGAACCGTGGGCATAGTTTTACTGTAGCCGCTAGAGGGCGCTCTCTACTGTACCTGTAGTGTATTAAAATGACCGAAAAAATTTTCTTATTGCAATTTTTTGCTTTTTGAATAAAAAATGATTCTTCGCACTTTTCAACATAAAAAAGCTCTCCTGTGAGTTTTCGTTATAGTTAGTCGTTTTTGAGATATTTCGATTTTTAAGGTTCGATGCATTTTTAATTATTTATGGGAAAATAATATTTTTTTTTACATTTTCAATTTGGGCATTACTAACTCCAAATAAACACAAAAAACAGAATATTAATTTGTTTAATTTTTCAATGTTATTTTTAACAAGTTAAATTAATTATTTACAACTAAAATGCTATAGGATAGTTAGGACAAACATACAAAATCTAAAGTAGTTGCTCGAAATGTAAACCCAATTGTTCAATACACAACTCACATCTACGAATAAGGCCTTATTTCATCACATGCATTCCTGATTCTGTCTATTAGCATATCTCTTGTGGTTACGGGAGTCTGGTACACTTTTTCTTTTAGAAATCCCCACACAAAGAAATCTAATGGATTTAGGTCAGGGGATCGTGGAGGCCAGGCGACTGGTCCTCCACGGCCGATCCATCTTTCTGGATAATTTTCGTCCAACCAGTTTCTAACTATTCTCGAATAATGAGCTGGACAACCATCAAGCTGGAACCACGCCAATCTTCTTAAATCTAATATAACATCATCCCAAATATTTGCATGTTCAGCCTTTAAAAATTCCAAGAAGGTCGCAGCATTTAACCTTGCAGGCAAAAGGTAGGGTCCAAAGTCGATTACGGTAGATACCAATCCACACGTTCACACTAAATTCATACTGAAAATTTCTTTCCCGAACTGCATGCGGATTTTCATGCGACCAAATATGTTGATTATGAAAATTTACCACTCCATGTCTAGTGAAGCATGGCTCATCGGTCCATAAAACGTTACTTAAAAACTCCCTATTATTATCAGTTCTATCAAGAATCCACTGACAAAATGTGATTCTTCGTTCTCCGTCCCCTGGCTGTAGTTCTTGCACAGGTTGCAAATGGTAAGGACGTCTATAGTCATTTCTAAGAACATGGTGAACATGGCTTGCTGAAATTCCCAAGGCACCAGAAACTCTCCTAATACTTGTGGTCGGATCTCTATCAAACTCACGCAGAATCATACGGGTAAATCTGCGCTGATGAACATTTATGTTTTCTCCCTTTGGAGATTTCCAAAACAATTTTCAATTATTTGGCGATGCACTCTTACAAATACTGAGCGAGTTGGATGTCGTCTGTTTGGAAATCTTCGTGCGTATTATCTGGCTGCTTCTGCTGCGTTTCCATTTACAAAGCCATACACAAAATGAATATCCGCTAACTCTTGATTGGAGAATAAAAATGGCATTTTTATAAAACTTACAAAAAAACAGGTGAAAGAAACTAAATTTCGTGCATTCGCAAATGCAAAAAACGTTTCCGGTTTCAACAGACAACAAAACTAACTGTCAACTAACTGACGTTTAACCTTATTCTGCTTTCAATTTCAAAAATATTTGCAGGCTCAGCCTACTTCTAAAAATTATCGAGATACTGACTTTTTAACGTTATTTCATCATATACTGACTTTTTGACGTTATTTTATCATAAATAATTAAAAATGCATCGAACCTTAAAAATCGAAATATCTCAAAAACGGCTAACTATAACGAAAATTCACAAGAGACCTTTTTTATGCGGAAAAGTGCGAAGAATCAGTTTTTTTGTTCAAAAAGCAAAAAATTGCACTAAGAAAAATTTTTCGGGCATTTTAATACACTACAGGTACAGTAGAGAGCGCCCTCTAGCGGCTACAGTAAAACTATGCACATGGTTCGTTTTGTCGTACCAAAAAACCCTTGTATACCAATTTTCACTGTTATACATATAACTATTTTAGAAAGTAAATTTAAACACCCTGTATTTCGGAAGCCACGCATTTTTCGACCCATGTTTATATAGACTTTATGCATTAATTTTAAAAGTTCTATCGAATCTTAAAGTTATGCAACAATAAACTGAAACACCCTGTATATGTGGCAAGTTTCCGTAACATTGTCTTCCGTATTCTGAGTCTGACGTATGTACATCTATTGTTTTGTATAAGCGACGATCTGGATTGTCTCTCCAGTCTGTTAAAAAAGGTGTCTTTTGAGGAAGACCGCTAATGTAGCAAAAATCGTAAGCAATAGATCGTTGGTTGATATTTTCTAATTTTGAATATGTTGATTGTACTGTGTTGGTATTTTCACTTGCTTTGCTAAATACTCGAAAATTTGGCTTTTGGACTTTCGGTTGTTTACCTTTGAGCTACAGAAATGTATTTTTACTGATATGTTTAACGCTACTTAGATAATATGCCTGACGTGCTTTTACGTTTCTAGTCCTCTTATAGTTGCGAGAATATAAGAATTGCAATTTTCAATTTATCTTTTCCCACATGAAGTTCACAGAGAAAAGGCCATCTACTTCATTTTTAATGGCACATATCAAACATCACCAGACACATCCAATCTGTTACCGATCACCTCTATCTACTCTGGTAGTTATAAATCACATATCATCACACTGCCTTCTGAATAGCATAATCAACTGATACTCGGAACAAGTAAAGCGTAGGTAATGAGTAACGTGTACTGAGACCAAAACAGAATAAAATCGTGTGGTGAACTTACTGGTCCGTATCCTCGTTAACAAAAAGCTGTTGTCCCCAAATCGACAACATTGGATCTTTAATGCCTTTGCTAGATTGTGTCTGAAAACTGCCAGGGGGAACACAGGTTGAGATTAGAACCCACTATGAGACACACACTGGGGGTTGAGATCAGGGGACACAGGTTAACCCAGTCATACAGGGGTGCATAGTCTAGATTCAGGGTAAATATTTGTGTTTAGTAGATCTTCAGAATAATACTGACCTTGAAATTATTGCTTTTTTCTCACAATTTTGGAATTTAATATATACCATTATCTATCCTATTTCATCAATATTTTGTACGTTACCTAAAGTGGTCGATCACGAAAATAGTTCCATAAAATTATACATGCTCCTAAAGCAACTAAACGACCCGTGAAATAATCTCAAATTGCAAATTCTAGATATATATGAGCTTAAAATGTTCTGTGTCAAGGTCAACTTTACTCCTACTAACGTGGTGTAGTACTGAACTACCAACCTTCTGATTCACGTCCTTTTTCGTATTTAGTCAGTTGTCAGAAAGGTTAATTTGTGAAACTGTTTTAAAATGGTAGTGACTTAGATGGGGGTTAAAGTCTATACAATATTAAGAAACGATTTTGTAGGAGATGTTAGTTTCATACACCACAAAATCGTTTGAAGTACTATGTATAGATTATGCTATTATTAAAAAAAATTGGCGCAACCTGATGGTGTTTTGATGATACTATTTCCACATTAATGATATATTTACTGTAATCATTTGACGTGACATATAAACCAAGTTGCTAATTAAAATCTGAGATACTTCAACATATTTCAAGTAAGACCAAAAGCATTTTTCAGTTTTTCATACAACATAATCTATACATTTTTGGAGTCACCATGCATCATAAAACTTTGAATATAGCAAAAAGGTGAAAAAATGCTAAAAACGTTGTGCTGCATTAGCTAGAAAATCGTGTCAGTCAGAGTGATAAGAATCATAACATCAGTAATTCTTGAATCAATAGATTGACCTTACCTAAGCTCAGATAGTGGCAAAAAATCGACGTCTAACAGTGGCCTTAGACTTGGTAAACTATATGCTGTCAGGTGGCCATTGGAAAGGTAGCAGGTTAAGCAAACGCCATCTAAAAATTACTTATAGAATTATTTTATTCATACGAATACCTACGTGTAGCTATTACTTATTCAGATGTTATAGTAAACCCGCATTTTCAAATGCTTAAGCACAGAAAAAAAGAAAATAACAATACAAGAAAGATTTAATTTTCACAAAATAGTCCTGACCCAGATTTGGCTCACTTTAGCCTCAATGACGGGATCATGAACCCACTGGATTATTTTAATTTGAGTGAATTGCTTCCGTTATTGAGGTGGACTTCTACAGATTTTTATAGTATCATAGAGCAGACCATAAACTTAGTGCCCAATACACAAAACTATGGGGAATGGGAATAGCACGGTGATTTTCTTCGATATTCTACTATTTATTTTGATAATGTGGTGTAATATTGTTCATAGAATGATATTTAATAATTATGATGAGTTTAAGGTTTCACAAGATTGATGCCCAATAAGAGACATAAGTTACAGATCAGACATTTTTGTGTCATTTTGTTGTTACTTTTTCTATTTAGCTGTTTTAATGTCAATAAGAGCTATACGAAGTTTACTTTTAATTCAGAGTCAAATGCTTACAGATATGCCTTTCAAAATTTATTATAGTGAACCGAAACTACCAAAATATTTTTTAATAGAATATATTATGTGATATGTGTCAAATGTAAGGCGTTTAGTCAATAAAGGATTTTTCTCTTCCTGGATAATATAATGTAAGTAAACCTATGTTTTCAGGCTAATTGACTCACCTCGCATAGAGATGATATCAGCCTTGACAACAAAGTCGCTATCAGCCAGTTGTTGCCTGTAGACACACGTTTGTGAAGGTAGAGCTACCACCCTAGCTTGCTTTTCACTAGCTATCACAATAAATTGCCTATCAGAGAAGTTATCGCTTCGACTGACGCTTTCGCCACCTAACGTTGGGCTCATCCTATTCTGGTTTCTTGTTGGTGTTCCTGGAAATCACAACATATACTCAGTGACAAAGAAAATGAACATTCAGTAAAATGATTTTATTTTAACGAAATTTTGTAAACAGATCTAAATAAGAGGGAGCCGTGATTAAGGGTCGTATCGTCAGTCGTTCCTACAATTGTAGGACACCTGTATGGCCTTTTTGATTTTCATAGTTTTCTATTGTACCGTGTCAGCGCTCTATTTTGAGGTTATGGTACAAATATCTATTTGCTTCAAATTGTTCATGCTTTTGATTTATATCATCTGTTGTAACAGCCTCAAATTTCCTACAATTCAAAAAGAAAGCATAGCCTCACAATAGGAGAGCGCTGACGCTGATATGGAAGAGTAGAAATCTAGAAATACTCCAGCCTTTCTGAAGGAAATCTATGAAAATCAAGGAGGCCATAAAGGCATCCTACAATTATAGGAGTGACTGACGATGCGGCCCTAAATCTAGAAGTAAAAACATATACGCTAGATTTTGCTTATAATGTCTTTGGCCACCTTGATGACATGCAATTCTGTTGAAGTGAGTTATGTCTTCTAATTGTATCTCAATCCAAGCTGGCTATAATTAATTCCGAAGCGCTATTAACGTGATGTAGTCTAGTTTACGAATGTATCATTGACGGACACTAGTGACTACTTCAACTCATCTTCCCCAAATACTAGCAGGTTTTTGGAACCAAGTACAGCAACAGCATGCCTCAACGGCTGGGCGAATTTTTTCGGAATAGTAGTGATCCAGCACATTATTATGGAAATTCAGCTATAGAGCAAACATACTTCAAAAAATAATAACTACCTATTCGTGCCCACGTCCACCTGTATACAAAATTTCGTTCAAATAAAATGAGTTTTACTTTACTTTCTTTGTATCTGAGTATATTTCTAAATAATGCAGTAGTATCCTTATCTTAAGGCACATACGTTATTGTGATGTATCTTTAGCAAACTATGCCATTGTGCTCTGTAATAATAAGAGTTTCGCAGAATACTTAATACTTACTATCCCTCCTATCCCTATTGTCATCCCTCCAGGATTCAAAAGAATATGGCATAAGCGCCCCGTTGCAATCTAGAAAGGCCAAGTTGAGTATGGAGCCCTTCAACCTGAATATCGTTGCTCCCACCAATGAAACCACGACAGGCTGAGACGATCTGCTGTCTGGGTCTGGGGGAATTACCAGGATCGTAACTACTGAGCCCAAACTTGTGCCCACCCATAGAGTTGGCGTCAGCAACGATGGTTCTGGAAGTAGGATTCATTACTGAACAGTGTCAAGTAATATCTATCATCAGTTGAAAAAATCTCTATGAAATACGTACAATGAAAGACACATCAAACTTTAACGTCATAAATGTCATCCTCACAGCTCACAATATGTCATCATACACATATTTCCAATATACGCACATATAATTATGATCTCATCATCTTTGACCTAGTAGATATTAAAAACACTTGCTTGTGGAATGAAATATATTTGTCGACTACATGTTAAAATCAGAAGCTATCTTAACTGGTGAGGAGCCATCCTTGATCACAGTAGCCACATAAACTGTTCCAGCTACTGGCAGAGCGTCAGTGTTTAGTCAAATCTCCTAAGTGCGTATGTGCATATGTCACACCTGTCAGGTAACAGCCTCGTAGTAATCGTTTTAAGGCTTTACTAGATAACAAAACTATGCTCTGTATTTCCTGTCGAAGATTTTATTACAGATAGTGATAAAACGCATATCACGTCAAGCTCTAAACTTCAAAGAATAAAGGTTACTTTCCTCATAACTGAGAGGAACGTAACCTCTAAGGCAGAATTACTCTAAGGCCCGTATTGTCAGTCGTTCCTACAATAATTGTAGGACGCCCTTATGGCCTCCTTGATTTTCATAATAGTATGTCATCATCAGTAACGTACTTGTATGCACTGCTTTAGATTTCTACTCTGCTGTCAATCAGAAGTCAATTGTGATGTTAGGTTATGTTTCTTTTTTGACGTTTAAGAAATTTTAGACAGATTTTTTCAGTTGTGGTTCGTTCTCACAGACTTTATGGGATGTTGGATAAGAGACATTGTATCCCAAGTGCAACTGCATTGTTGATGTCGGAGATGGCTGTTCACAAATCATTGTTAGACTTTGGATTGCGTAGTGTCAGGCTACAAGTATGCATCATGTGTAAATGCTCTGAAACTGAGTTTAAACATGTCCTGCCCTATCTGGTATTTTTTTATATTGGTGGGAACCTTAACCTAAAAATTTCAGACTATAACTCTAAAAAATATCATTATAAAATTGTCGCCCACATCAAGGAGTGAAATTTTTAATGTTTCTTGGATCTATGCATCTTTTTGCAGATTTAAACCATGGTAATATTGCATAAAAAACTCCTAAGAACGGATTCATATATCCAGGCACTTGAAAGTATATTTGAAGGAGCCAAAACCTTAAAGAAATAAGTGAATTTGCTTTTTGTGACTGACGTGTTACACTGCAGTTTGTAAATTAAAGGTAGGCATAAACCTGTATAATCATAAAAGTTAAAAGCTATCGAGTTCAAGAGGAGATTTGTTATGCCTGGGCTGGGGGTTTCTCAAATGTCTAATGGTTAATGTTGCAGGTGAGAGCTAAAATGTCACACGAAACTCGATAAAGTCGCTTTTTGAATATTGTAATCAACATTTCTATTTGACAAAATCTCACAAAGCTGATGCCATAGGTTATATAAAAATCCAGTGATCTAGCAGAAATGCTACATGAAATACATATTTTAACACTTTCGTTATATCAGCACTTAGGACTAAAACATAAGAAATCACCAATACTTATAATCGTATTTTTTCAGATCTACTTGTATTGCTCAAAGATACATCCAATCCTGATAAGCCCAGGCTACAAGATATTGTTCCAAGACAAAAACTCCAGTGTAATCAACGTTATTAGAGGGAAAAAAAGAAGAGTCAATATATTTAAATTGGATATTTCAAGAAGTTTGATTACTAGAGTTAATTAACTTTCCAAAATGATCTAATGTACCCCCACAATAGAAAGATTTCTTTGTAACTGATTAGATATCCTTTAAAATAGCATATAATCTAGTTAACGTCATGCTAGAGAAAAAAACATTTGTTTTAAGAGATGGATTAAAAATTGATGAAATCTATATTTCTAGATATTTTTGAACAAACCTACTGTATTTCTGTGGGTACAGAATGTAGAATAAAAAATATTTATTTTACCAAGTATTCTTTTATTTATATTCTGCAAATACCAACCGAAAAATATGATACATGAAATTGTTAAGGAATTTATGGACAGTATGTCAAAACACAAGTATCAGTAATCAAATGAAGCCTTTATATCTAAAGGGTACAACTAAAAAGGAGATATGAACTAATATATAGCCAAAAAAACATCCAAAATGAAAAACTACAATAGAGTACTTATTACAATAACCTTCAATAATTTTAGATTTACTTACATAAAATATATATATATATTGTTTTCCAACTGAATGTCAATATTTCAGAGAGTGACTTTTGGTTCCATTTTGAGAAGAAAACTTCATATAATCGTATGTCCTAAACGTCTTGACTTTTGAGAAACGGGGCGGTAAACTATTTACAAATCAATATTTTTTGTTATGATCTGTAATACCACTTTAAATACTTTATTTAAGTTCGGCATAAATGTATTATCAAAGGTAATTTTTAATGTACGAATTTTCTTTTAATTTCCACTAGCGACGTTCGTCCCGATTTCACTTGCCTAATTTGGCAGACAATGATAGTAGGCTACTGATTTCTCTTAAAATAAAAACTACTCTTGAAATCCCGTCATTTCTAAGCAAAATTGATCTCTCATTTTTTTCACTCTGATGCACGGTATTCTCTTACAAAAATAAAATAACGTTTCTTTGCATGATCCTAGTATCGTTAGTATGACAATGTCACTATGTCGAGAAATAGATTGTATTATTCGGGTGAAAACCGGGCGTCTGACTAAAAGAATTCAGTTTTTAATGTCCGGTCCAAGATTTCCACCCAAATAACAAATTTCTTTGCATGGTAATATTGTCATGTTAACAATATTGTTATGATCGTTTTTATGTTCCACATACTATGAGGAAAGAGCTGAGCGGTGGCGGAAACCGAGCAGAATCAGAAAACATGAGCTCACTGACGCAGATGTCATCGGAGCAGAAAACGAACGAAAAACTGATGCTGATTATAGACGACCAGGCGAGGCAGATTCGAGATCTAATGGAGACCATCAAGGACCAGACAGCCAAAATTGACAGCCTGACCGCCCAGGTAACCATATTACTAAATTCCAAAGAATCCCCTAAAGAACAGACAAAGACCCTAAAAAGACCACTGAGAAACGTTACTGATGCTCATCTCACATCCACAGACGAAGACGTACAGATCGACGGATTTGTGAAAGCAAAATCAAGAAGAAGGAAAGGCAACAAGGCTGATCGATCAACCCAAGACTTTCCTCCTCTTCCGAATACAGGATCAATTCCATTTCACACCTCCCTCAATTCATCAAATCGAACAACTATTAATGCTTCTACTACCAAGCCAGGGACCACGTTATCTACCTGTAAGGTGACTCCGTCAGCCGATGTTACTTCTCCTCCATCATCTCGTCCAACCGTCGTGGCATCAACACAACCCTCACGACAAGGGCGCATAACCCCGATCGTCTTACGCGACGGGACGAGATGGCGTACTTTAAATTTCAAGTTTATTTCCCTAGGATAAGAATAAGGATTATTCCTAAATCCGAGGACGACTACCGTAAGATCGTTCGCCTATTCCGAGAGGAAGAAGTGCCCCATCACACTTTTCCTCTCCCTTCGGAACGGAACATCCATGCGGTGGTTCGAGGAGTTCCCGTCAACTTTTCGGATACTGAGATTAAGGGAGAACTGGAGCAGAGGGGATATAGCCCTCTTCACATCATTCGATTGAAGCGCAGCGGCGGCGCGCCCATGCCTTTGGTGGTCGTGATACTGCCCAAGACTGAAAAGTCTCAGCAAGTGTTCAACGAACACAAACTGCTGGGACTGGCCATTCGAGTTGAGGTTCAGAAAAACTCCAGACTGATTGGGCAGTGTCACCGCTGCCAAAAGTATGGGCATGCGCAGTCATATTGCACTGCACCGCCCAAATGCTTAAAATGTGCAAAGGACCACATACGCATTTGTGCCCCATCACAGAAGAGGAAGAACGCAAGTGCGCGAACTGCGAACTTGCAAGTTATAGCGCAAAGGCGCAATATATCATACGTGGACGCAGCTCGGGAGGCAACCGCGCTAAGGTCCTTACAACAAATAATAAGCCCACTGATTAGCGCTAAGCAAGCGTTGCAGGCGATATTTCCTGTAAATGTCTAGGTACAATAGTAGACAGCCTGCATTCATCAAAATTCTTTTTTGGAATTGTTTGGGCATGAGGGATATTCCCAAAAAACGGGAATTTCATCAAGCTCTTTTGGATGAAGGTATAGATGTGGCCTTGCTGCAGGAAACGTTGCTTAATCCGGGAGATCGTTTAGCTCTCCCGAATTATGATATTATCCGAGGTGACAGACTGAATGGTCGAGGCGGCGGTTTAGCAGTGTTGATTAAGCGCGGTATAGACTATTATAGAAGCACTAATGCGGAGATGCATAGCATCGAAGCAGCTTCTGTGGTGGTCAATATGGCGGGAGGTGTCTCGTTGAAGATCACATCGGTGTATGTCAGGTGTGGTGCCAGGCTACAAGAGGCGGATCTGGAGGTCCTTTTGGACTACTCGGGTCCGCTTATTGTGGCAGGGGACTTCAACTGCAAACATCGAGCATGAAATTCTAGGTTGAATTCCACTAGTGGGGTTCGATTGTACAACCATGTGATGCGAAATGGGTACCTTATACATAGCACTGAAGAGCCGACACATCATCCATTCAACCATCTTCAGGCACCAGATGTCATCGATTTCGCGATATCTAAAAACTGTAGATACAGTATCCCTTCTCGAATCTTGTATGATATCTCTAGTGACCATCTACCTGTTGTCTTGGATGTGGGCAATGAGCAAACTTCTGAGGAGGCAGCTCCTCCAAGGAAACGCATTGATTGGGACCTATACAAGTTGCTCCTTAGAGAGTTTCCCAATATCCCGATTATAGATGATGAGTCTGGAATAGATGCCGCTCAAGCGGAGTGGACAAGTTTCATTCAAGCAGCTCTACAGCGTGCAGCTGTATTTCCTGTACAACGACACGGTAGACCTTTTTTGCCTGCGGACATTCGTCAGAAAATCTCTGACAAAAGAGCCGCTATTAAGCAGGCAAAAAGGTCTTGTCATCCTGATGACATTCGTAGGGCTACAAGTCTTGTCCATGAAGTGAGAAACGCACTGCACGAACTCCGCAACGAGCAATGGAGCGACTTTCTGGCGGGAATGCTTGATTCAAGTATTCCTCTCTGGAGGGTCGCAAAGTCACTCAGAAACGGAAAGCGAGAACAACTCCCACACATTCACGGTCCTGAAGGCATAGTCTTCAGAACGGAGGATAAGGTCGAGGTTTTCGCTGATGCCATGGAAAAACAGTTCTCTCCCAACTATGATCTCGATAATGACCTCGACGAGGAACAGCACATCGTACGATCCGTCAGGAGATATTTTAGAGCCAACGGCGTTAGCGGAGGCACTGAATCCTCTTCAGATGACTCTTCTTCAGAAGACTCTTCTTCAGAAGATTCGTCTGAGGCTCCACATAGCACATTAGCGGAACCCTCCGAGTTTCCACATTGCACACCAGCGGAGTTACTAAGTCATATTAGAGACCTCAAGGTGCGTAAAGCACCTGGGGAGGATCAAATCACCAACAAGGCGTTGAAGCTGCTCTCGCCGAAAGCCCTGACATACTTGGTGACAATAATCAATGCGACGCTCAAAATCCAGTACTTCCCTGCTGGGTGGAAGACTGCTGAGGTCATCATGATTCCAAAGAAGGTGGGTTCGATATTTCCTCAGGATTACCGTCCCATAAGTCTGCTGTCAGCTCCTTCTAAGCTCGCCGAAAAGGTGATTTATCGTCACCTTGAGAATTTTTCGTCAAATCACCATGTGATTCCTGACGTCCAATTCGGTTTTCGGTCCGAGCATAGCACCGAGCTGCAGGCAGTCAGGCTGGTGGAGCATGTAACCAGAGGGTTCACCCTTAGCATGAGTACTGGCATCTTGCTTTTGGATGTCTCAAAAGCCATTGACAAGGTGTGGCACGCGGGCCTCCTCTATAAACTAATCCAAAAGGGTTTTCCTTTTTGGCTTTTAAAATTACTGAAATCCTTTCTTGAAGGAAGGAAGTTTCGGATCAAAATTAACAATGTTTTGTCAACAACACGGCCAGTACGGGCCGGTGTTCCTCAGGGTTCGGTCCTAGGACCAATTCTTTATTCGCTTTTCATCCATGATGTCCCTTCCCCCAGCAACTGTGAAGTCTACTTCTATGCTGACGACACTGCACTTGTCGCCCAGTCGTATACTGGTGATCTGGTTCACGATGGGTTGCAGAATGCGGTGGACGAAGTTCTAGAGTGGGCGGAACGGTGGCTGATAAAAATTAATCACTCGAAAACGCAGGCTATTTATTGTATCAAAAAACGTCGCGGCCCCCCAGCAGAGGTTTCTGTAGACGGTAATCGTGTACCATGGACAAATTCTGCCAAGTATCTCGGTGTCACCCTTGATAAAGGCATGACCTGGCAGAAACATACAGCATCCATAAAAACAAAATTCCAAATTGCGTTTCGGCAACTATATCCTTTGTTATGTAGATCCTCCAAATTGAGTTTGATAAACAAAGATCGACTATATAAAATGATTATTAGACCAGCCATTACTTATGCATGTGCGGCTTGGTGTTTTCTTGCCAAGACACACATGCAAAGTCTTCAAGTACTGCAAAGCAGAACTTTGCGGACAATTTGCAACGCTCCATGGTATGTCTTAAATGAGACACTACCCAGAGACCTTGAATCAAAAAATTTGTTTAGTTCACCTCAAAATAAATCCGTGTACCAAGTCAAAAAGCCTAGGTGTTTCCTCTTAAACTAAGCATATCTGTTTTTCTTTGTTCTTCTCCTTTTTTCTCCCCTTTCCCTTTCTCTTTTTCCTTGACTTTGTCTGGTTTCTGGGCAACCAGGACTGACAGATTCGACTAACGTACATCAGACAGTGACTAATGGGCAAAGGTCCTACGGACCGCCCAGACAAATAAATGACGAATAAATCGTTTTTATAAGAACCGTGCAAGAGATTGAAAAAAATCCAAGTGATTTTTGATTGAAAATTTTAATAAGAGAGAAATAAACGGCATACCATCACTGTCTATCAAAACAGGCAGGTAGAATCAAAAGAATGCCTCTCATTTCATTAAGTGGTATTACAGATACTCATTGTCAACGATTTATTTTTTGACCTTTTTTACCACCCTGTGTTTCAAAAGTTAAAACGTTTAGGACAAATGATCATTAGAAGTTTTCATCTTAAAATGGACCTGAAACCACCACCTTAGATATGGGCATTCAATTATTAAACACACTAAATGGCAAGCTACTAATTAATACTACAATAGATAAATACAGACTTTCGAGCCAAAGATTTCATATTTTTCTTTTTTTACTGTTACTATCATAACTAGCAAAATCTGCTTTTCATATGAGGTTCTCAAATATCAAACCTGTTCAGTTTTTGATATTTCCTTCTCAAACAGAAAATGTTTTTCTTTCCTATGCAACAGTTTTGATAGATTTTCCTTTTTATGTTAAGATTGCAAATCAATTAATGAACGAATTGGAGAAGAAACTGTATTTAGGTTTCCTCACTTTTTTTTCATATACCACATTCTACAACATTAATATATGGTACAACATATTGTTCTTTGAGGCTCAGTGTATTGATCCCCTTGTTATTGATGATGCCACTGATGTATTTTTTTTAATATGCTCAGTAGCTGAAGTCTCCATTAGCAATTTAAATCCAAAATTTATACCCAGCAGTTTAAATACAAATCAAATTATGTTCCTCAGAGCTAGGTTAGGTTAAGTTCATTTTTGCCTAAAATGAGTCTTACATGTTAAGCTCATGATAAAGTTGGGAGTTTTAATTTGATACTTGCAGCATCTATCTATCTGTAGCAATAAGTGAATTATGAATGCAATGCAATTATCTTAAAACTACTTATTAGGGCTTAACCTAGGCTGACTTTGAGGTACCTACCATTTTCAGCATAACGGGTCTTTTCCGCTTATCTAGCTATTTGAATGGTTTGGAATTTGTTTAACAGGAGAGTAATTCCCTTGATGAGTCAAAATTTTCTTTTATTTTCAGATTTGTAATTAATTATGGAATTTTATGTCATAAAGTTTTTCTGATTTCACTTCATGCTGCAACTCTTTTTCTGTTTACTCTCTGTAACACTTCATTTTTGGTAATCCTACATGACTATGGCATTCTGAGCACCCTGAAATAGCAATGGTCAATAATAGTAATTATGATCTTCACAACACACACACGTTATACATATTTGTAGCCTGACATTCTACACAATCTAGAGTCACACAATGTTTTGTAAAAAAGCATTTCTAACATCGACAATGCAATAATTGGACTTGTCATACAATGTTTCTTATCCATAGAGGAACCATCTCATAAAGTCTGTGACAATGAATCACGCCTGAAAATAATGCGATAAGCATAATATGAATATGCAATTATTTGTTTTGTAACTTACCTGCCTTCATCAACAAAATAGCTTGGTTGTAAGCTTCTAGACTTTTATACATACAAATATAATATTATAATATAATATATCAATGTGCATTAAACTTCCTAACCCAACAATTTCTTGAAAATGTGGAATGTGTTCAATGTAGCGAAGTATTATTGACTATTGACTGTTCAACATTATTTGCAAGAATATAATAAATTGTGCTTCTGCAGTTCTGCCTTCGATTCATGAGTCTAAAGATTTCTTAAACGTCAAAACAACAACATAACCTCTAGCCAGAACTGTCAGCATGCCGGAAATCTAAAGCAAGACATACAAGTACCTTATCGGAGAAGACATAATATTAGCGAAATCAAGGAGGCCATTAAGGCGTCTTACAATTGTAGGAACGACTGATGATACGGGCCTAAGAATAGGACGAGGAAAAACTTACCTATGTCACGCTAGAACTTCTTACGTCGCACATACTTTTTGTAGATAAGATATCGATATCCAAAATCAGTCATCGAATACACGAATTCATTCCCGCTTGACCTCACAATCTTTTACTTACCGGATTTTTTCGTGTACGTATCAGCGAAAGCTAAGCATTGAATAGACTCAGCAGTGATGTTCTCCAATGAACTCATAGACGATGACCTCGACCTCGAGAAGGAACTATCCAGCTTGTCTATGCGGCCCATAGAAATAAAATTTTTTTAGTGAATTGTGTTCTCAAATCATTATCAAATTGTAATTCTTAAAGGTGCAGGGTCAACATTTATTGCATTTGCCTGACAGCCATAGAATATCTATTTAGAGCGATAATACTTGAATGTAGAAATCAACGAAGATATAGTCAATATTCATTGTTTTCTATTTTTCATCATGCTCTCATGTTTATAATATTTCGCAGTTCTGTAACTTTTAACGTATTCTATTGTTGACAGGCATTTGAGCTATCAGAGAACTAATTGTTCAGAGAGTGGTACAACAATTTGTATGACCATAGGCTACCTCCAAAGAAGTATTTTATAAAATGTCTGAAATGATAATTTATATCGAATGATTTCAAAAGAGTATTCGTCACTAAATTTAGAAATTCTTTCGGGTCGAACTAAATCCAACTAATAGAAAAATTAATCTAAGGATAGTGTTCTAAAATTGTTAGGTAAGAAAAATCAAAAATAGTTTCAGGTATTTTTTTATCCTCTACTCAACACCTCAATTTTATTGCTGGAGTGTTTTAGCCTGTACGAATTGTTTCTTCTTTGCTGTTATCTGATAGCCCATGACCATACATTCTACAAGTGCTACAAGATCTTAGGCATTCGGATTTAGTACGGTGAGTTAGTGCATTTTTCTAAAAGTGCCAATTGGTTGTAAGGGATACGAAAAACCAATAAGTTCTCATAGCAGATAGAGTATGAATTCAGATAGTTGATCTTCATGCACTTTATGCAGGTTGCATTCATGCAGCAAACTTAATGATACTGCGCGAATATAGTGCAGGGATGCGTAAAATCTTATAGAAAATAAAATGATTCTGATGATCTCACGCATCGCTTTGCAGAAAATCGCCTATAACAAACGTTCTGGTTTTTAAACGCAATAATCTAAAAAATGTTTTTCTAACAACAATCCACGCTTTCAGGAAACAAAACTAAGATAACGTTTTGACAAAACAAATCAGTAATCAATTGTTGTCGACTAAAAATTGCGAACAAATGAAAAAAGCCTTTGCAGTTAACATGTCTAATTTCAATACAATGAAATCTTATGTGCTTGTGATACTTTGGCGGTAGTTTTTTGTCCTGCCTGCATGAAAATAACTATTAGGAGTTTCGTTTTTATCCCTTTATTAACAAAAACAATATCATAAGCTTTTAAGTAGGCTCATAGAATGTGCAAAACTGTTATTTCAACCGACAAAAACCTACAGAAGCTCGTAACTATAGGCAATTAAAGATAAACTTGCAAACATTCAACTAACTACCTGAAAGGTAACTAGAGTTTAACTACCGTCTCTATTGTTGACTATCTGATTGTGGGATATAAAGTGAAGATAAAGTAAAGACATACGAAAACTGGTACTTGACAAAATATCTGTTTCTGCAATAATTTTATAAGTTCATTTTCGCATGACTCGTCTAACAATGAATTTCCTCAATTTTTGTCTTTGTCATATTCGGAGGTATTTTATTCGACTGGATTTATCAAAATAACATAAATACCCAAGGGTGAGTATAGAAACTCCAACACTATTTTCTAAACCAGCGAATATCCCACTGTTCCAAGAATCAGATACTGGGATGGTTTCTGCGTAAAAATGTATGATTGTAAATTAATTTTACTTCCAAATTTAATAATCTGAGTTCATATATTATTGTCGTTCCCGATGTAATTTTTACATGAAAAATGAACATCTTCAGTTACCTAGGTATGATCAACAGAATCAGCTTTGTCATTTTTTTAGTTGAATTTTGAAATGTTTCATACAGCTCTCCATATCTGTAGAATTTCTTATATCAGTCCCAAAAAGTATGTATGTGAAATTTAATACAACGATCTTGAGAATAGCAGGATCATTTTCACGTAGAAGCCATTTCCGATTCTCGCCCTTTGCCTCTATCGTGCAATTGGGCTTCACCCCACTACTAGTACATCAGTGCAGCTACGTAAGCCCCAAGCTTCGCATCTACAACCACGGTACTGTGGTAACACCACATGCTAATTACTAGACAAGCAATAGCAGCAACTTCATGAACGTCTCTCTCTTTCCTTTTTTTTTTTTCACGTACCAAAACAACAACCCTCTGAGACGGAGAAAGAGAGCGACGTAAAGAATTTACCTCCACACAGCCAGATTTACTTAGAAAACAAACACACAAACATGCAGTTAGATGTGCTAAGGAAATTAAAAAGCAAAAATGTTTACGTTGTATTTAGTAGGTATATTTTTGGAATTGCGTATAAACATAAAAAATCCATAGTCCAAATTTGAAGGTTTCTCGAAACTAAAAAAAATAGTTAGAGGCTATCTGTCGTAAATATTCCGTGACTTTTGTTATAAAAAAAACTGGCGTCAAGTAGGTTGACTTTGCTGCACTTTCCACGCAACGTTGGTATCAATTCATAACCGATTATTTTTGGTACAAGTCAGTCCCTCTGAACTAGCTACAAACATGTATGATAAAATGCCATCAGCGCCAGCTGCGATGCTGTAACTCGAGAAAATTGGAGATGTGGTCAGAATCAATCAGACGAAAAGAGCGTTGCGTTCCGGCCGACCGCGTTTTTAGAGCACATATACTGGGAAATCTATGATGTGTAAAATATGTATTGATGGGTGCGTAAAATTACTGGGGTTGAAAACGTAGAAATATACACCCACCAAAAAAAATAAGGTTTTCCCCCCCCCACCTCCTAAAAACCCCCAAACCCAGAATTTCAATCACTACAAAAATGTTTATAAAATGATCAGGAGCCTCTGAAACGTCAAATAATGATGAAAAAGCGTGATATCTAATTTTCATAGTTTTTCGCGATTACAATACTTACCAGTATGGGAAGTGATAAGAGATCAAATTGTGGCAATGGGGCAGAAAACAATCTAATATATTCAGAGGACTAGAAGATATGTAACTACTGTAAATTTTTGTAGCAAAACCTTTTTCTACCTTTCAACCTAACCCTCTGAATAGCTAAATTTAATATAGATAATTAGGTAATACCAACCTAGTCCCTGTACTGTGAAAGTTTCCAGGACAAAACTGTGCACATTGGACCTTGTTGAGCCCAGCTATGAAAGGAAGAGCACGCGAACAACTTTATCCTGCAGTCTACTACCTCTTTACTGAGATGCGCTTAGAAAATTCAATACAGGAACAAGAATTATGCAATATTAGTACAAGCGATGCATGAAATAGAACGATTCTGGCGTTTTGATCGTATTTCCTTGTTAATATCAGAGACATTGCAGAAATGCAAAAAAGTGAAGTATCTTTCACCTATCCTCACAAGGCATCATTTATATCGCGATTATTAAGAACAAGTCGCTATCCAATGATCGCTGACAATGACTACATTCACACGAACACGTCAAAGCGGTTTATGCGTATGGATTATTCTAAACGCTTTACGGTAAGGCATACTTGTAAATACCAAATTAGCGCTCAATCGAGCAATAACAGGTTTTTTTATACCGAATCACCGCGTAGGCAGAAGCCTAAATAACAGGACACCACGTCTGCTATGGGGAACTTAAAGAGACTTTTTGAACTACCTAAGGATAGTAAAACTGAAAAAAGCCTTCTCAGGTAGATTCATAACAATCTCGATACCTCAGAGACAAAGCAGCAGTCGTATCGGCGAGTTCTGGATGTAAGAAGTTCCCAGATCTACTAACCTTAGGCAGTTCAAAAATCGGATTAACAAAACTTCTTTTGGATCATCGGCATTTAGTTTTCTGTCTGCGCGGCTGCTTCGGTATAAAAAAAAGTTCGACACGGTTAATATGGGACGCCGAAGTCAGGCGGGTCTGCCTGGCAGGCACATTGCGTAGCGGTATCTTGGAAGAGAGCTCTGAGGAGCAACAGCCCGTTGACAAAGCGGTACATGAGAGCTAGATAATATAGTGTAACATTGAGCAGTACTTAAGGCAGTGTCTTATCTGAGCTTTGTACAGAGTGAGCAGGTTATGTGGAGAAAAGTACTTCTTAGCCCTGAACAAATAGCAGAGCTTTTTCTCAGCGACTGCCGCTATTGACAAGATTTCTTCTTGTCAGATTAAGTCTCCGGTATTCTGGACTTCCACCAGCCGAAATAAACAGCTCTTTGGTAGATCCCGGCCATCCATCAATACCTGATGAGGGTAAGGGCGCTTCTTGGTAATCAAGGTACAGTATTGCGTTTTCGATACATAGAACTAAAGGTACCAGATTACTGGATCCCCAAACATTGATAACCTCCAGGTCTCTCGTAAGAATGGATGTAGCTGCTAGTCTTCTTTTTCTCCAGCTCCTTGGCACCTCAAAACTGTTTATGCATGTGCGTTCTTCTAAACGCTTTACAGTTAACTATTCTAAGGCATACGTGTAAACACCAACTCAGCGCCCAATGAAGTAACATTAGGTTTTAATCAGTGCAATTAATGCTATAACGCCACAAATGTACCGCTATTGCGGGCCAGGAACATACCACATAAATTTTGCATTTTACATATACATTTTCTCTGTCTTCCGAACCATTCCTAATAATACCAAATGTCACTAATAGAGAAATATATATCTAACGAGAATATAATAATGTAGCATAGAAACAGGCCCTCTTCTTTCACCACGTGTACTATACAAACTATCAAGTTCTAATCTGGAAAATCACGGAACCCGCCTTTAAGTATGAAGATGATTATTCATTCGGTACTTAAATGGGTAATAAATTGGCCGCACTGCGCAATCCGCCTAATTACACCTGCATCATCCCGCTTAGAATAGGTATCTACTACGTAATCGCATTAAACTATCACGAACAATGCAACGGGAAAATTGAGCCGCAGACGAAGCGTCGAGATTTAATGGGCAGTTAGATTAATAGCCTTCAGAAAGTCTGTATTCACCCTGAAAAATATTTTTCACTTTATACGAATAGGGCAAAAAATGTCGATCTTACACTGCTACGAAACACGATGTC